ATCATATTTAATGTTCATTATGTCAATTTTAAATGATACAAAATGCCTTCCCCAGAAGGCATCCTGATTTCAAGAAGTCAAAAGGGTACCTGGCATTAAACAACCTTGAGTCAATCCTGGTGGGATTAACTGGGCTGAGTTTCTATATCCTGCACATGCTATGGATCTACTTTGATCACAGTAAGGAAAAAAATGATAATAGATTTTTTTTTTTTTTTTTAGAATTGCTGCACAGGAGTGTTCTGTTTCTTTCATATGGCAGAGTTTGATCTTGATAAAAACCTTTTAAAACATCCTTTTCCCCCACTATGGTAAAGATATGGTATCTATTTTTGCTTTTCTTTAAGAAAAGAAGATGGGGATTGCTTACACGGGGAAAGAAAATTTTATTCTCCAAAACCCCCCTCCCATTCTACTAAACCGTTTTAGTCGACATATGTTTGTTATCAGAGAGAGGTGCTGTGAACACACAGCCATTTTCTTAGCAGCTTTTTGACTGTATGTTACCATAGTCCCACAAGGCATTGGTCCTTTCCCATTGGGAAGTCATGAATAAGAGACTATGAAGCTTGCACGTCAGATCTTCCTCAATTAATCCACCATTAGCATGTTTGGGATCCACTACTGGATGGTTAACAGCAGCTTTTGTAACTGTACGCCGACCATATCCAATTATGCTCTGCTAAAAATGAACTCTTTGCAGACCAACCCTCTCGGGCTGTCAGTGTTTTCCGTTTTCCTATTTTAACGTTTGTGTATAGTGGCAGGCGACAGATGGTGTAGATCAGATCGATTTGATTGCATTAGATGATTTTTTTTTCCCTTCCCCACTCCTTTCTGGAAGCTCGCATCAGCTGAAGGCTATCGCCTGGGACTCCTCGGAAGCACGAGCAAGCCGCCACCACGCGAAGGCACTGGGGCACAGCCAGCGCGAGGCGCCGAGGTCCCTTCCCAGGGCTTGTTAACACTGTAACCCGGCACTACGGAGAGAAGCAGCTCCCACTGCCCAGAGCCTACCTCACCACACATCAGATGACTCCCGGGCTTCTACACACAGTTGGAGTTCCGCTTGAAACCTGGATTTAGAGGGTAAGCACTTCAATCGAGATGGATTTGTGACAGTTACTTTGCCATACAGCAAGACAAACCTCAGCGAATGTAAAGGATGTAGGATGTGTGGGAGAGGGAGACTATGTTTACACTGATAAATGTGTTTCTTTTTGTCTGAGAATGAGAGTATTATTCAGTAAAGATGTGTATAGTGTTTTTCCATTGATTGTAAGAGTCGACTACCACCCTCCTCCCGATTTTTTCCCTCTCCTTGGTGTTTCCCCCTTTCTACTTGAGAGGGAAGGAGAGAGGGAGAGGGAGGGAGTCAAGGGGGAGAGAGCGAGAGAGGGAAAGAGAGGGAGAGAGAGGGAGAGGGGGGAGAGAGGGGGGAGAGGGAGAGAGAGAAAAGCATTTCTGCTTTAGCTTAATTGGCTTATTTCCTCAAACCGATTGCTTTGTCGCGCTTCTTTATGTATATTTGGCTGCAAATTACCAAGCATTTAACTGAGATGGGTGTAGGAGTGTGGGGGGATAGGGTAGGAAAGTAGTGGGAACCGCCAGTCAGTCCCGGTGGGCTTGAGAGATCAAAAGGTGCTGAATGCCCCCTGCCCGCAAAACACACCTCTAGTTATTAGGGCGCAAGAGAAATGTAGATTCTAATAAATATGGCTTGCAGGAGTCGATGAACAAAGGTACTTAATGCAGACCTAAGCCTCCGCTGATATTGTTCCGCTAGCGGTATCTAAATATTCAAAAGCAAAGTGTGAGTTGATCAACAAACGCCCTGATGGTATTGGGTTTTTTCCCTTTTCTGTTTTTGTGTGGAGGGTGGAGAAGGGGGGAGGGTGGATGGGTGGGGGAAATCCGACAGCTTAAGGAGGCTTGAATTGAATATGCACCCAGCGGCAGTGGTCTCGTAGGAAATGGTGTTCTCGTAAGTCAGGCTGCCCCGCTGAAGCACGAGAGAGCTTTGGTTAGAGCTCAGAGCGTCAGTTCTGCTGCGAGTGCTGCCGGCAGTCAGCCCGGGCTGAGCTGTCCACTCCTCCAGGTGCTGAAGCTGGTGGAACATTTGGGTAGGTAGGGAAAGGGCTGGCGCTGCTACTCGGGTAGAAAGCAAGCGTATCAACTGCGCTGTTCTAGTTTCTTAAAGCGTGTGAGTCCGTGGGTCTCTCTGTGTGTGTATGTGTGTGTGTGTGTGTATTTTATTTTAATTGTGAGGAAGCAAAACTAAAGGAGACTACTCTGAAAGCATTGACAAGCTGTGTGGGTATTTATGCTGTGATTCTGATGCCCTGTGTATTGCTGTGCATGTGTGTGTGTGTGTGTGTGTGTGTGTGTGTGTGTGTGCCTTGACTATCCTTTTGAATTAGAAACAGTCCATTTAGTAAATCAAAACCTACCTATATAATGTCTTTTTTGTTTTGTTTTTGTTTCCCTTTAATGTTAGTTGAGATTTAAATGGAAGAGTTTAGAAGCGAATGTACACTTTGCTCATAGACTATTGCATTACTTTCCCTAAGGGCTTTTGTTTCTAGGAGTTCAAGCTGAAGAGAACCTGTCAGCTTTCTGGATTTTTTTTTTCTTGGTTGTAGTACCAGAGAAAAGCTTCACTTTATAGCTATGTTAGGTAATGGCAGAAAATAGTACTTATTAAATTGTTAATTGGCATCTGGTTTTTTTTGTAAATGGTGTACTTAAGAGTTGTTTGAAAATAATGTAAAATGTCTTGTAGTTTGGCAATGTTGTTTTTTATTTCGAGTTATTTTAGGCATCAAACATCCTGTACTAAACATCTGTTCAAAAAACCTAGAATTCATGTTGATTTTTCTATCTGTAACTAACATGTCAGGAAAATGATGAGATGGTGTGTCTGGAGAAGTGTTATGTTAAAAAAAATAAGAGCAAGCACAACCTAAGTGCTTTAAATTGCATCAGGTCAGTTAGAGATGAGTTGTGGTAGTGGGAGAGATTCTGTTATATAATTACTCCTTGATGAAGAGCAATTTTCACTTACATAATTTGAGAAATCATAATGTCTATTGCCATCTTTCCATATTCCGTCCTATTCCACTCTTCCACTCACATGGGTACACTTTCATGTATTAGAGAGTAAAGGAGAAAGCAAATTGAGAACTTTCTAATGGAGCTACAACATGTCTTGTGTCGTGACGTTGCACTTGTCCATTTTATTTAGTGAACAATAAACCCCTATTATCAGAATATCCACTGCAGGGTCTTAAGACAAAGCTTTTCCAGTAAGAGCCATATTGATCATCAAAGAATCACAGAGATTCTCTCTCTAAATGCCAAAATTACAGTCACTTTGCAAATGAGTTTTTATTGTTTTTCTCTTCTTAAAATAATGTTATGAAGACAGAGCTTCAAAGGTTTTTCTATAGAGGTGTTCACAACAGCTGCACAGCAATGCATTTATAGTGAATATTAAAAAGGTGTGCTATGAAATTAAACATTGTGGTGCTACAAAACAGATTCCAAAATCGTAGAAACTACCAGCTTGTCAACTCAGTGAGTTCTGACAGTATGTAAAATAGGTTTAATTATTTTGTGCCTTGAAGCTTTTGGTTTCTTTAAAAATCATTATATTATATAGCTCTAAGGCCTTCAAAGGACAGATGCCTATTTTTATAGATCCATAATTACTTGATTTCAAGTAGTAAATTGAATGAGTGTTTATTTTCTGTGATCTTGGGCTTGAGAAGATACATTTCCAAAACACACTACTGAAAATTTCATCCATGCATGACCTTATCTTTATTTGAGCCTCACTTCTTCCTCAGCCGTCTAGGCAAATACATTTGTAATATTTGTGTGCCTAACTATGCATGTCTCTTACAGGGTTCTCTTGCTGCCATGACACTCAATCAAAGCACCTAGAGTGGGCTGGCCGAGACCAGACTGGGCATGAAGCAGAGCGAGTACAGAGGAAGGCACTGGGAAAAGCACCAGGTAAACTGAAGGTTACTTGTCACTCCCACCCTGTGCCCAAAGAGCCTTGCCACACCGTCCCTCCTCACTGGGAAGAGAGCACTCTTCTCCTTCTGTGTTAACTGTTTGGTTTTGTGATTTGTCTTTCAGAATTGGAGATAGAGCAGCCATTTGGATTTGGGCAGGAAGCAGCCAAGCACAGCTTTGGATCCTTCTTTAAGAGGGAAATCGAGTTATGGATTTATGGTCCCGGTCAAGCTCAGCCCAGCCCCAGCCAGGGGCGGGCTCAGCAGCAAGAGTTCTGGTGGCGGCGGCGGCGGCAGTAGCAGCGGCAGCGGCAGCAGCGGCAGCGGCAGCTTGGTCCTCTGACTCTCTTCGGTGACGGGTATTCTTGGGTGGATAATACGGATTACGTTGTTATTGCTTAAGAATACGCGTAGTCGAGGAGAGTACCAGCGGCAGGCGGGCAGCGGCCGCCCCTCCCAGCCCACCAGCAGGCCACTAAACGCCCGTGATCGCCAAGGTAGCACTTTCTTGATCTTTTCTTTTTCTCGGATGTTTTCGCACGGGGTCCACCAGAAAGGCTGTGCGCTGCACCTCTGGTGACCCGGACTGTGAAATGGGTGCGTGCAGGGGGGCGGGGGGCGAGGTGTAGGGGGTGGGCGGGGAAAGGAAGGGGGTCGGTTCAGCCGAGGCAGCGGGGCCATTCAGCGTCCCCCGCCCGCTGGTGCCCCGTCCCTGGTGGGGTGCGGCTGAGTGGAGAGGCGCGGACTGGGCGATTCTCGAAAGTTGGGAATGGTTGCAAGGCCTCGAGCAGTTTGGGAGCGTCGCGAGTGAGCAGCGGGAGCTCAGGAGAGGGGCGCTGGGGGCTGCCTCCGCAGGAAGGGCGTGTCCGTGGGCGAAGGTGCCCCCGCGAGCTTGCGGAAGCTCGTGACTTCGCGAATCCCGGGCCCGGGGCGGTGCCGGAGCCCCACCCCCCGGCCGCGGGCCGCTCGGCAGCCAGACGCTGCGGCCGGGCCGGGGAGGGGGCGGGGGCCGGGGGCTGGGTCCCCGCGGAACTTCCAGATTGGAAGTGTGGCGAGTCTCTCGGGAACCCACATTTTCTTTTCGGATTCTCCGCGAAGGGGTGGAGAAACAGGATGGAAACCGGATTGGTTGCAATGTGGCACAGAACTGGAACCTTCCTGAGAGAGGTTGGGGCAGGCAGTGACTGTTCAGACGTCCAGTTTCTTTGGGACACCTCTTCAGCGCTGTCGCCCCTGCCTTTGGGACGAGTCGCAGACACCAACAAACTCAAGGCACGTTCCCCCTCTCAGGTCTGCTGCGAAGGGACGGGAGGAAGATACAGCCTTGCCCTCCTTCAACTTCCAGTTCTTGTTTGTTTTCGAAATGTTTTGTTTCAAATATTAATGGACGATATGACAATACGGATATGTCCCCTCCTCGTGAAGAGCAAGCGAGCAACCGCCCACCAGCCCCCGTCAAGCGTGCCTTGCACTCCCGGGGACAAACGGACGTGGCAGGAGTTGAGATGCCCGAGATGCAGCTGGGAAGGACGGTCCATAGTGGAAGGCGAGGGCCAAGCTTGAGCTCTCTCGGCGCTCGCCAGCGTAGGACCAAGTAGCTTCCAAACTTGCCTTTGCCTCTTGCGAGGCGTCGGGGCCCACGGTGGTGATGCTTCAAAGGCGGGAGGACAAAGTGCTGGGGACAAGAATATACCAGGCGCCCAGAAGGTTCTAACAGGCGCGCCAAGACACTAAGACCGTGTTTCCTTCCTGCGTGGTGGTGGCCGTTGGTTGTGCATGGGCTGCGAAGATTGGATTTCTGAGAGGTCAAAGCTGCAGGAGAAAAACAAAAACCAAATAAACTTAGAAGCCTGCCAAGCTCCCTCTCTTTCTCTCTCAGCGCTCTCTGACTGGCCCAAGCTGAGCTGCACCCCAGACACTTTCTCCCTCTGGAGGATGGGCCTTTCTTTCCCAGGCACGAAGAGCATGTGTCCCACTGGGTTCTTGCCTTCAAGAGCAGTCTGAACCCTGCGGAGGCCGAGGGCAAGGTGCCTTGAAAGAGGCAGGCACATTCACGCTCTCACGTCTAGGGTTTCGCCTTTCTTACAGTACAGTATTCATAGTGAGGGGTACTTCACACCCCTCCTCTCCCTATCTCCGTTCCCACCCCACGACGTCTGAGCCCACAGTTACTCTCAGGGTGTCTACACTCATAGGTTTTGCGCCCAGGGCACGCTGTCTGCAGGGGAAGCGGGTGGGGCCCTTATCAGAAGCTCCCGGAGCGAGTCCCTTTTAAGAATGAGAAGCAGGAAAGAAAATAGAGATGCAATCTTTACACTCTGCATTCTGTCCCTAGTAAGAGAATATGTAACTCCTGTTCTTTCCTTCATTGTTCCAGGAATTACCCTCTTTCTCCAGGGAATCCACCAGTTGGTGATTAAGGGATTTTTAATTGTGCTTGTTATGTACTTAACAAAATACAGTGTGTCTTCTGGTGGCATTGTTTCATTGGGAAATTAGAAAAGTAGAGAGAAGCTACGTAATCTAGTTCCTAGGTGATCTCTGGAAAGTTGGCCTCATGCTGGATGACTAAATATGAAGTGTATAAGATTTGAAAGAAAGGAAGAGAGCTGAAGGCCTGGTGATAGTGTTTGTGAGAAATGGAAGATGTTACACTCCAGCATTTGTTGAGGGAATGAGGAAGAACTTATGAAAACTACGTGATTTCATTCAGTTTTGTGGCACTGGCACTTCAGCTTATGATTGCAGTTGCTTGATAAATGAATACTAGTAATTTTTGGCATAGAATAATTGCAAATGCTAGTGATGAAATCTAAAGGAAACCTCAACCCATAGTCAACAAAAAGTATTTTGATTTTTATGGTTCATGTAGTTTAAATACTTATCTCATTTTTTTTTTCCTTTGCAGAATTATTTTCTTATAAAAATTTCCATTAGGTGTCAGTCTGACTGAGCTGGTTCTTATTTAAGTTTGGGGGGGAAAGTGTTTCATCATCAGACCTTTTAAGATAAGAAAGAGGAAAAAATTCAAAACTGTATTAAATTGAAATTATTGCAGTTAATTGTTCTTGTTACAAGGCAGCTTTTTCCCCTCAGAAAATAGAATTTTAAATTACATCAATACTAGTCAATTATTGCTTTTGCCCTGTCAGTGTCCATAGCCAAGATTAAAGAAGTACAAAATGCTTGTTTGTGCTTTACATGCTAGAACCAAGTAATATTGAATAGTCATAATTGCTGGTTGGTTTCTCAGTTGATGTCCAAATACTAGAACAGTACGCATCTTTTTTAAAAATTTGTTTGTTTTACAAAGGTGATTGAATTTTTTTTTTTTCTGAAAAAAAGAACATGGATGCAGCTTAGACTATTCATTTGACAATAAAACTTAGGGCATAGTGGAAAAGGAGAGAGAAAACTTATGAAAATTGCTTTCCTCCTCCCCACTAGTTTTAATTTAATCAAGCCTTTCTAAATACTCAAATTTTTATGAAGATAAGTTATGGCTTATAAATGGAAGATTTTGGGTTTCCCATGGAAATTTATATAATGTCTATGAACTTTCAATTTTCTACTGTGATATTCATTAATAGGTGTAAGAAACATCATCTTGTTTGATGGTTTGCTACTGAGTCCCAGGTAAGGACCTTGATAGAAAGAATTTACTTGTTTTATTCTTTGTTTGTGAATCATGATCTGATGTTTTGCTTGAATAGAATTTGCAGGTAATGGTGGTATTCATGGTTAAAGATCCACAGAGGATCAAGACAACCACTATGTGTATATAAAAAAGAAGTATTGGACTGATGAATCTAAGTATACTTTTTAATAAATAATCATTTCCTGGAATCAGGATCTTTCCCTGAGACCACTGGTAGCCCTAGTATGATGTGGTTCTTGGTTACAGCAACACCAATCTAGAACCAGATTAGAGCTCCCAATGAAAGTCCAGGCAAAGGAGAGAAATGATAAAGTAGCAGTTTCATGGATGGAAATTTCTATAAACTGTATTGTCATTTTTCCTATTATATTCCATATTAGTAATGGTAAATTTTAAAATATATAAATAGAAAACAAAAGTGGAGATGATGGGTATATTGGGACATATTTTGGGTTTTATGTGGGACAAAGGGTAAGTACTAGGATGTAGACAAGACAGTATAAGGCCATCATGATTATTCACCATCCTGTCGGTACTGTACAGGTGCTGCAATTATTATATCACAGAAGTGACAGAATGATGTTCTTACAATGTTAGAAAGTAGTGATTCTACGTATTAGACTTAAAATTTAAAAGTAAATTTCTTTTGGAAATGTTTTCAGTAATAAGGGAGTATATATAAATGAAATCAGAATAGTGACCACCTAAATCTTTGAGTTTTGAATTCTGCTATAGTCTAGCTAGTAATAATGCAAGCTTAGTAAGACAATTTCATTCAAAATGAAAAGTATTGTAATATCTATACTAGTGTAAAGGTACTTTTCGTTGGCTTTGTTTTTGGAAATAGCTTTTGAGACTCAGTAATAATTCACAGTATCTGAAAATATACACATATACCAGCTAGAACCAAAAGTATTTTAAAAACAAACAAAAAACCCCTATGAATTCTAAAACATTCAGTTTAAATAATTTTTAAATAAGGCTTATTACATTATTAGTTTAAAATCACTACTGAATTTCAGTTAAGTTTCAAACTAAAAATTTAATGTAATCAATTTACTAATACTGTGTTTTAGTTCAAATACAATTTATATCATAATACACTTTTTAAAATTTTGACAAATTATATTGCAATGGTGATATAATTGCATAATTTGAAAGTAGCATCTATTCATAAACTTGAATAAAATGTGTCCTGTTTGGAAACACTGTTCCTAAAATGATTACTTTTGTAAAAATGATATAATTTAATTCAAAAATTATTATTTCTTATAATTTTGTTTTTTAAGTTTGTTTCCCATACATGAGAAAATTAATTGTTTGAAGTATATCTTTATCTGTGTGAGCAAGTGTGTTCAATTTCAAGAACTGGTTCAAACAAATCCCGAGATAAAAACTAAAAGTTACTTATTTAAAATAGTTTTTATATATCTGCCAAATATTCCATTAGGTTTTGAACTACAAGAAGTACGAGTAAATGAATATCATGCCTAATATTCTATCAGAAACTGACATGAGGAAAAGATCTCTTCCTTTGTAATAGAAATATATTATAAGATTTATAGATATCCTGGATTGTTACACATGACTACAGAGAAATTAAAGTTATAGAATCATTACTTTACGGGTCCAGTTTCATGCACAGTTTTTTTCTTGACTATTATTTAAACAAGCAGGCTTTGATGGTGTTTACAAAGACAAAACAAATTGGAGAATCGAGTCAGTATACAGAAAGACCTCAAATTTCACTTTGTCCCCAATTATATGGTACTTAAAGGGAGAGAGTATATCTTATGGTGGGAAAAGCTTTGGAATAAGACTAGAAAAATCTGATTTTGAGTACAGCTTGTGTTGTGAACTATGGCAATGGACCAGTCAGATAGCTTGCCTAGTCCTCAGTTGCCTCCTCCACAAGGAGGGCTAGATTTAAATTCTTTCAAGGCCTTTCTACCTGTTTAGGATTCCATTTCAAAGAAAGCCTCTTTTTTTTGTTCTGAATTCTACTCTTCATTTTAGGTGCAGATAGTATTGTGCAAATGGACACTACAACTAAGAAAGAAGCTTTAAAAAAGTATTCACCAGCATATTTTGTCTTGTTATTGAACAAGAAATTGGTCTTCTAGAATTTTTACTTAAATTCTTAAAACATGAAACACATGGGAACATTTTTATCACTTTTTCATACTTCAATTTTTGTTTCAAGTTTTAGTAGGAAAGAAAAGCCCCAAAAGAATGATTTACAGATTATTCTAAATCTGTAAATAATTTACAGATTATTCTAATGTGTTATTATGGACCTGCATATATATTTGTATAACAAATTTAAAGATTCATCCCCAAAAGCATTTCAGCCTAATGAAACAAATTCACAAACAACTGTATTTAAAGTCAATATATGTGATTGCAGTGGATAAAGAATAAACACTTGGCCTTTTAAAATGTTTATTCTGTGTGTAAATGTTTATGCTATTAAATTTAATTACAACTTTTGGAAGAATTGGGTTTTTTTTCTATTTTGTTAAAAATGACCAATATTTGTCTAGGATATTTAGCTCTACTATAATCCTATAGCCTTTTAAAATACCTCGTCCCGTGGCTGGCATGATTGGCGCTCAAAAATATTTATTAATTTAGTGAAAGCAATGATATCCTTTCAGGATATATGTTAATATAAAATTTTATATTTTTAATAATTAATGTCCTTTTAAAAGTAATTATTATATAAAATGACTGTTGCACTGCTATGTTGTTTAATGTTAACGATTTTTAATTCTCAAATTTGTTTACTAATGGGGCAGTTCTTTGCTAAGAAAGAAAATTTATTCTGTTTCTTAGATAGGACTCTCAAATAATTGAAAAACCTATGAAAACATTTCTTTCAAGGTGGTATTCTGTTTGAAACTCCAAATAACTGTTTAATCTGCTATTGAAATAGAATAATTTTACTCTATATGAATGTCACCTAAGGTATTTTATTTAATATTAAGTATATAAATATTTGTAAGAATTAATAAATTTATTAACAAGTAATCAATAGAATTACACTTTATGCAATGTAATAATTACTATGATACATGTATTTTCAAAGCTAAGGAACTGTGCAATTTTTTAAAAACTTTTTTTATTATTTCCTAGGAAAGCAGACTAAATTGTAATTTTCACTTGAAAGGTGTGAGTGTCCTGAATGTTCCAAGTATAGTAAATATAAGTTGACCTCAATCACAAAAGAATATACCCATTCGCTAAAAATTAAACTATTAATAGTTCATCAGCTACTGCTTTATCCAGATAATTTACATAATGCCTATTCACAGTTTAATGATGGGTATGAAACATTATGTTCAGTTAAAAGTTTGAGAATAGGTTCACAAAAAGTTTTATAAAGCTTTCAAATGCAATTGGTTTCAAATAAATATCTGGGGTAGGAGTGTGAGGTTTGGAGCCACTTATTTACATTCTTATTAAAATATCTCATGTTTCTTTAGGTTGTTGGATGTGGTTGTCCAAAAGATAGCTTTAAGATTATTTTAATATTATATATTAGAACAGAGTCAAAATAAGAGTATTATTTACCACAAACGAAGAGGGTTTTTGTTAGCTGTGGATGTTATATTTATTAAAAATAGAGGCTAACGACGTTAAACTTTTGAGTCAGTTTTACATTTACATCTGGTGATTTGTGCAGATAACAATTGAATTTGACAAGAGACAGGGGAAATGGTAGCAAGTAACAGTGTTAAGGATGTGGACTGTAGAGAGGAATGTGCAGCTTTTGGTGATGTATTAAAGAAATAATAATGAAATTCCCGGTGGCTGTTTTATTGATAAATCTAATAGCTGGTACCCATAAAGCTTTAAGAAATATCAATTTTAGGATGCATTAGAAGAGATCTTGTTCTTTTAGATAGTGCCCTTTTTCCAGTTGTGATGATCAGTTGTAAATATTGATTTTATACAGTTTACCTATATCAAGACATTCTTTCATAGTGTGAATTACAACTGTATTCAAAAACTCTTGCTTTTATTTAGGTAGAAAGTCATCCTCTGGTATAGAACTATAAATCAATTAAAATATAAATAATCTCTGAGTAAAGTGGGCCTAGCTTATATGTACAAAATTGAGAAAGGCAGGAAATCTGGATGTTTCTCAAGTCAAAAGAAAGAACATCAATCTGAAAAGACAGACTTCTGAAAATTAAGCCTAAGGAAGAAATGGCTTAAAAGAGCTAGCCTTTTTTATCCATTTTTCTATTGGAAAACATATATATTATATTTGAATTTATGCTTTGGAAATAAATTAATGTAGGAGAATTTGGTTAAGACGGTGTTTCCGGATATAAAATACCAATACTAAGAGTTGCATTTTTCCTCCTCACTGTAATTGATTTATGTTTTAGAGAGAAGGGCTATTTAATTAACCGTGGTAAAAATATAAAAGATTGACATGTTTGTCCTTCCCTGGCTTGGCCTTTATTTCTGAAGACATAACATTTCCACTTGATCATTTGTTTTCTTTTGATGTAATTATTTTCCAGTCCATTATCCACACAGAATACAAAATTTCACGAGTCTTGGATAAACTCATAGCAAATTCATATGATATTTAACTATTATGATAAATTTCTCTCTCAGATCTAGTTATTTGGTATATACTACAACTCCCATGTCTTATGTATGAAGTCCTCACAACATAGAGAATCTAAGTAACTTCTCCATGGACACCCAGATAATATTTGGAACCCATTTTCCAAGTCCTCATTGGATGTTTTATTTCTAACATACCACACTAAAACTTCTATGTTGAAGTTTTTTTTTGCAACTTTACTCTTCCTAGTGTCTGACAATAATTCTTACAATTTTCATACTATTCAGCAACTATTTTTACTCAATCCATCTAATTTAATAAACTTTTTAGAAAGTTTGTTTGTATATAAACTTTACATACAATGTAAATATGCCAATAGATTCCCAAGGCCTGTAGTATGCTTGCACATACGAATTTTCAAAATCTTGCAAAATTTTATAGGCTAAATTAATATTAATATAGAAACAAAATTAAATCATACTTAAAGGAATAACTTGATCTTTTACCCTAGTTACAAATATTTCAGTAAAACAAGGAAAATGTTAATCAGAATTACATCAACTCAATTTAATAAGCTTCTAAATGCAAATGTTGACTAATAGATTGGATTGACAAACATTTTTCATGCAGTGTATTCAATGGAAAATTTAAAATAATATTACTAAATAATACTAACCCAGTGATGTCCTCATATCAAGGAACAGAAATAAAATCACATTTTAACATACAATTTAAAATTGTATTTATTCTCCTTATTTCAGTTTTTAAATATGCAAAGCTATCTTATTGAATAAAAAGCAACTCTTGGATTAGAGCAAAGTAAAATTCTCCATTTTGCAAAACTCTTGTCCACTTCTGTTGTGCTATTTATGAAAATTGCATAGTGGTCTGTAACTGACACATTGAGGTTACTTGTAATGCTAACCAGTTAAGGGTCTCAGAAAGTTAATTTCTCACTGTGGGGTCACCCAGCTTAACAATCAAAGAAGCATGCTCCCTTTACATTTGTTGCTTAAGGAGGAAAGATGCATTCTGAGAAATACATATGCTGTTAGGGGATTTTGTTGTTGTGCAAACATCATTGAGTGTATTTATACAAACCTAGATAGTACAGCCTACTGCACACCTAGGTAGTATAGCCTGTATTGCTCCTAGGCTATAAGCCTGTACAGCATGACTGTGCTGAATACTGTCAGCAACTGGAACACAGTGGTAAGTATCTGTGTTATCAAAACATATCTAAACATAGAAAAGGTGTAGTAAAAATATGGTATTATAATCCTATGGGGCCACTGTCCTATATGCAGTTTGTCAACCGAAATGACGTTATGCATGACTGTACTTGAAAGACTACTGATCCCAAATCAGACTTCTATCACATCAGTGAGAGTTCACTAGAAAAAAAAAATGGTGTAACTACCTTTGTTTTAAAAATCTCCAAGATAGAAAATGGATATCCCTTTGACCCCCTTTGTCTCCATCAAAAGGTTTTCCTTTTGTATTAATCATAAACGATAGCTATAAATAATTATGCCCATTGTTTTCTTCAAGTTTTTAAAATAAAATGTAGACAGAACTCTAAGACAGGTCAGTAGATTAACAGACAGATATTTTTTTTTCTAAATTTGTTTCTGTGCTCAGTTGAAGGTGGCAAAATTGGCTGAGAAGCCACACCTAAAATAATCAACGTTTTGTCCAAAGAAAGATGTTTTATGAATTCACATAATTTCCTCAAGAACAGAATGCCTTAAAATTTGTGAAGGATAGATTTTAATCCTCATACCAGCTAATTAAGCTTCTTCTGTACAACATACAGTTTTAAGTTAACAGTAATTAATATAGCCAGCTTGGAACCTCAGGAAGCTAAAGCCAGCAAGTGCTTTTTGGTTCACTCCAGAGGATGCGGTTTGATTGCTGGCGCCAGTAAACAGGTTGGGAATTGTCAACATTGTAATTAGCAGCAAGTTTCTGGATTCTCAGCCTGCCAGACTAGTGGGCTGATGCTTGGAGCTGTTGCCCCAGGGGGAAGAGGGAAAAACAAAGGAAGGGAATTTGAGCAACCTTCCTATGCTCTGCCAGCATATGCCACTGGACCAATGTTTTTCTTGGCAAAGGTCTATTTTAAGAAATCTAGCAGTGGTTTCCACAAAATATGAAACTCACCATAGCAACCAAAATGGCAAGCGTCTCTAGGAACCTTTCCTTGATTGGATATCAGGTCAAACTGTGTTCAGAGCTCTGTCGCCTTATGTGCAGTATGCTCTGTACTATGCACAATGTGGTTATTAACAGTATGATTAAAAGGGTTAAAATCTGTTTTGGCAGCAATCCTGAAATACTCTGCCTCCACCGAAAAGCCTTCAAAGAATAAGGTTATGCAAACCTTATTAACCCTTCATGTAGTACAAATAGAAGGGAAATGTCAACCTTAATACCACTGAGCATCCAATCTTCAGTACTTAAATGATAATTTCAATGTAGTTTTCTTAATCAAAGCCATGTGATCATTGTGGAGAAAGGTTATCATAAATTTAAAATCCAAAAAGTATTTGTAATGTTCCTAAGACTGCAACTGTATTAATAAAGTTTATAGGTAATTTATAACCCAACGGAACAAAACTTAGACTAGCTTTTGAAACCTATTTAATAAAAAGTTCATATATGTACATATATATACACATATGTAAAATTTCACTAATATTATAGCAGAGTATGAACTGAAATAAATAACATATATCCTCTGATTAGCCACAGGATAAGTACTAACCCACCTATTTTGTGGCTAAGGCACAATAACAGACTCTTTTACTTTTTTTTAAAAGCAGCTTTGTAGTAAATTAATTTTGTCTTCCATTCCAAAAAAGGTCAAGGTTGCTGAGCATTGCTAAAATACACATATTAATTTCTCCCAAATAAATGCTTGGGATCATATGAGGGATATTCTCACTGTAACTCTCTATCTTTGGCAAAATTTGAGAAGGAGGCTTCAAAGAAATAAACAGGATGCAGAGAGACAAACAAAATAGCTTTCTTTACTGTTTAAAAAAAAGTCCTCAAATGGATCAACGTGCTATATTAAGCAATTGCCATGTGGTAATTTCTGCAGGTGGATTATCAAAAGTGCACAAAAAATGGCTGTGTAGATCTGGCACCCAGGTGTCTGGTGTAGCATTTAGTGAACTCTTTTGTGGGGAGAAGGATTACTCATATTTGTTGGAGAGAGTACAGTTCTCTAATCCTCCTCCACAACAGAATCGGTGTTGGAGTGAACGAGCAACATGATTCTTATCCACTCTCCTCTAGACTCTGAGGAATTCTGCACAATTATTTATTATTTTCAGTGGAATTAGATGCCTACAGGTGGCCCCATAATGTGCCTCCAGGCATACAACCTGCTGTAAATTTTTAAGTTACATTAACTCAGCAGTATGTTGTCTTATAGCGACAGTTCATTCAGTTTATGAGGAAAGGGAAGGAAGTAGAAAGGCAGTCTTCCTTGTTAAGCATCATTCCAGTTCTTTCCCCCGTGTTCTTTCTTTGAAGTCAGTAAAAGGTATTTGGCAGAAGCAGCGCTACTGGTGTGTTAGTGTGTGCTGTCTCCTCAGAGAGTCAAACAGGAGGTCTCAACCACCAGGCCTCTGTATTGTGTCTCGGGGAATGATATATTTATTGTCAATGGTACACACAGACGCAGAGCAATAGGATTCTTTCTTTTTTCTTTCATTTTTTTTCCTATTTCCTTTTATTTATTTTTTTCTTTTCTTTAAGAGCCTTTAAGTGACTTCTGGTATTAAAGTGTTTTGTCATTAGTGCTTTTTCATGTAGTGTTAGAAAAAATTAGTTCAGCTTTTATCTAGACATTTGAGTTTATGATGTTTTTACAGTTTTTCCCCTGTCACGCGTCCTATTTACTATAATTGTTTTTCCTGGGTGTTTGGGTTACCAATCAGTGAAAGAAAGAGGGAAACCCTTCCTAACTTTTTGGTCATTGGGTTTTATGCTCACTCTTTCTTTGTAATGATGCAGTTGTCACTGAATGGATGCAGTTAATTCCCCTGTATATTTTGGGGTACAATTCTCAGAGCTTATTAAAAAAACAGAGATAATATCTGAGTTAATACATTTTTGGAGTAGAAATTAGATTAACACTTTTAGGGGTGATACACAGGACTATTTAAGCCTCAGAAGTCCTAGTACTAGGTTGTAAAGCTCCTTCTCACAGCCATAAAAGGAACAAAATCCATCTCCCACCATTCTAGTCTCATTAAACCTGTAGTTTATGTTACAAGTAATGATGATGCACATGTTTTCAAAATATATTTTATGTGTACGAAGTGCTATCTACAGTTATTAAAAAATACCCAATAAAACCTTTTTTAAAATGTAGAAAAATAGTTTTATTGAAATTTCTATAGCATAGTCATGAGCAAAATTAGTAGCCTAAGGTCAATTTGACACCTGTCAGGTTATCTGCCTTAATGCAAGTACTTAGACTATCCCACCCCTCATTTTATATAGCAACTGACAAGGGTGCTGAGATAAAGCAGTTTGTATATTCAAAAGAGTTAGGATGTATTTCACAACAGATCACCAAATATCTATTATGCATGTACTATTCATGAAGAATGTGTTCAGATCTATCAACATTTCTTAAGTACCTACTATGTACCTGGTATTCTGCTAACTGCTGGGGTTACCAAGGAACGATTAGAAGAACAATTAACAGACTTTGCCCTTGAAGCATTCGTGGTCTGTCTACAGTACCTCTTACAATCCAGGCTGTTGTAACTCTGTGGGGGAGTCAAAAGAATGTAAAACAACAGCCTCCTTCAAGGAACTTACTAGGTTGTAGTTAATATTAAATATTCAGTTGTGTGAAAGCTATTGTTTTTACAAGTTATTACTGTTGTCTCTGTTTACCAGAAGACACGTGTCACGGATATAAATAATAACAATGTCCTTTCTAGAAATGGATTTACCTTTCCTTTTTATAGAAAGTCTTTCAGAACTAAATAGACCAAAGAAGCGCCTGATAGGAAAAAGATAAAGAACACATTTTTTTTCACCTCAAAGCAGTAAATTACTCTATAACCAACTCTAAGTTATATAATACCATTTACAATTACTCAATTATATTTTCCTGGGAAAAATTGTTAGTGTACCTATGGTACCAGAAAATATATTTTAGTACCTGCAAAATGATATTGCATGTATGTAATTCCCAAATTCATTAATATTAGGTCCCAGAGTCAATAAATGTCTTTTGAGAATGTGATAATAGGCTTTATGAAAGAAAGTACTAAAAGCATTGTTATCCTTCAGATCATTGGTTCTCAAAATGGGGTCTCCTGATCAGTAGCCGGGGCATCTTCTGGGACCTCATTAGAAATGCACATTCGCAGACCACCTAACAGGCCCACTGAATCAAAAACCCGAGACGGGGCCTCCTAATCTGTGTTTTAGCAAGCCAAACTGATTCCTGCTACAATTTGAGAACCATTGCTTTCTATTGATTTTTTAAAACAAATCGCAAAGTCAACTTCTATGCACCGCTGACCTAAATGATATAGGCTGTATTGTAGATTTAAAGTTATGCTATTATTAATTATAACAGGTATTTTAAATTAAAAATCATGACTTTATCTGACTGGCAAATTCTACATTTGGGAAATACTTTAAGCCCCCAAATATTCCACTTCAAGTTCTATTTATATGAAACTTACATAGTATTTTTATTAACATTATATAATGCTCATATTGCTAATAATTTTATAATCAGGATATTTACTAAATTGAATATTTCCTAGATTTAAACTCTTATTTTGATTTAATTTATTATTATTTTGGTAATTCCAATAGTTGCCCAAATTTTACTCTGGTTTTTAGATATGTCCCAGGTTAGAAGCTAGGAGAATCTGCTTCATTTTATAAAAGGCAGATAGCATTGAATAAGACCTTTAGATTTTGTGCATATGTGTGTGTTTGTGTGATTGTCTCACAGGTCATCATTAAAATTTTCCCATTCATTTATGACACAAAGAATGTAACAATTCTCATGTAAGGGAATTACCGTGACAAAATTCTTTGAACATTTACAAAATGTTGCAGTAGTATGGTAGTATAAAATACATTTCCTA